AAAAGAGTCTAACTTTTTACCTTCCGTCAGCAGGCGTTGAATGCGACTTTTTCGACTTTGACGATGAGGTGACAACTAATGAGTTAGGTTGTGGGTGGGAAAGTAGAAATTCTGCCTCAGGTTGCTGTCTGTCAGCAGGCGTTGAATGCGACTTTTTCGACTTTGACGATGAGGTGACAACTAATGAGTTAGGTTGTGGGTGGGAAAGTAGAAATTCTGCCTCAGGTTGCTGTATGCGATACATATGGTCTAATTTCTTAGTAGAGACGGGGGCGGACGACGGTTTTTGCCAAGGGGTTTTTGCGGCTTGTAGTAAGACAGATGAAATGGGGAGTTCGACGACTGAGGACGTGTCCAGTTGGACAATATCATATAAGGAATCTGTAGATTGTGGATCCTTCTGAACAATTGACAATCCCAACGCATGGGCCATTCTTTTCATGAGGTTGGTGTATGTAGACAAGTTATCCAACGGGGACATTGGAAGATTTTGGAAAACTTTGGTATTGGGAGACGAGTTGTCTGGCGACGTTGGGGCCTTGGAAGGTTCGGTATCGGAATCAGACTCAGAGGGCTCTGAAGAATCAGGTTCATCTGCCGGGGCAGGTAAAGGAGGTTGATGAGGGGCTGGTGCAGGCGGCTGGACTGGTGCAGCCGGTGTGTGCTCCAGATGTTTTCTAGGAGTAGGAAGGGGTTGGACGGTAGATGTTCCCGACGGTGGAACATTGTCCGGTTGGGGAGGACGAGAGACCGTAGCAGATGGTCTAGATCGCCTCGGAGAACGGGACCTGTGGGAAGATCGACAGGAGTATCTGTCCCAGTCAGTGTAACCCGCAGGGTTGAGCCAAGGCATAGGTGGATGGTAAGGACCATGCAGGTAACGGAGTTGCCTCTCATCCCACGACATCGGAGGTGGCATATACGATCTCGGGGAACGACTCCTCGACCTCGGACGTCGCGGGGAGAAATTTGAAGGAAGAGCATATGTGCCTCTTCTACAATCAAAGGCGTCGATAACGACAGACTCAGGCAGTAAACAGGGAGGACGATGCTCCACACTAGATCTCAAGTGTCGATGCCGACAGCCGTTGGTGTCGGGCAACTCTGAGACGATTGAAGTCGACGAGCTCATTGGACCAGGGGAAAACTCCGCACCCAATTGGTGACTTACGAGATCCGTGTGGTCGACATAGGACAAGGACATCCCCACCTGGTGGTCTGGGGAATCAAGCACAAGTACCGTTGCCTGTGACACGACCTGATTCTCCGGTATCGAATCAGTCGGCATCGAATCAGTCGGTATCGAATTAGGCGGTGGTGGCGGAGGTGGTAGGGCGAGAGCTGTCGATACAGAACCCGAATCCTTTCTAGCCTGCTTCGACGATTTGACAACCGTCTGTGACGCCACCGCGGTCTTCGACCTCTTAGCCTTTTTAGCAGGAGTAGATGCTGTGGAAGGAACGTTCGGTACCTTGGATTTCGATTTCGAGCGGTCGGTATCGGAAACAGATTTAGTCTTCGATGTTGACTTTTTCGGCACCGATGTGTCGGTAACGGAAGACAGAGTCATTGACGATGAAACCGGTGGGTCAGCCATCGGTTGGAGGGCTTTTTCCAGGAGGAAAACTTTTAAACGAGCTGCTCTATTCTTCCTGGTCTGATTGGAAAATTGAGCACAATGTTCGCAGGAGTCTGGATTGTGGGATTCCCCCAGGCAGAAAATACAGTACTTATGACCGTCCGGAGGAGCCAATTTACTCCCGCAGCCTCTGCAACAATAAAAAAATCCCCACTTCTTCTTCTTTCCAGTCGTTTCCTCCATAGACTGAGAGACGTTGAAAAGTCTAGCTGGGAAGAAGGGGGGGGGGCAATGGCCCGAAGGCCTGAGGTAAATTTACCTCAGACGACGAAATCAAAAATGCTCTCTTTTTTTAAAAACGACGAGAGGAAAGGAAACTGAACTGAAACTGAGAGAAAAAAACAAGAGCCAATCGCTAAAAAGCAACGAAAACAGCGATCCGACCAGACCGATCGAAGAAAGGGTCTGCTCAGCGCGGTGGTAAGGAAAGAACTGGCGGGATGTCCGCTCCCATCCCTCTGGGCATGCGCAGTGGGGCTCCTGTGCATGCCCGGAGGGGCTAGGCACGAAAATCCGTTAAAAGAGCTTCCTACAGCACCGGCAGATCCAGCGCAGGTGCACTAGATCCCATTGGTGTGAAGCACAGAGACCACGAAGAAGATCATACAATACACATGTATAAGCGAAGTCCTGATTAAAATATTCCATTTGGGCACAGCTCCATATCGCTTCCAAGTTGGAATTGTATTCATTGTATGTTAATGAAGACTTACCTGATTTACCTGACGAAGGAATAGACCTGAAATTATCCAGAACTGTGTTGTTTCTACTTGGAACAGACCTCGTTTACTAAAAGCCACAGTATATAGATGTTTGGACTTCAGGGACGTGTGATATTTATATAAAAAAAATTTCTCTGTTAGCTTGTTCTATTTATGAAGTCTGCTGTTTTTGAGATATACTGTGACTTATTGTGGGTTTGAGTCTGTTACCACCCACTTTTGGATAATTGTTCCTTATGTTTGTAATTCTACAATAATATATATGAGTTTGGCAGTATTATTAACTTTGCTTTCCATATAATTATTGTTGCATTTATTTAGTGTGCTTTGATTACAGATTTGTGATTTATTAACATTGACAAGAGCCAGAGCTTTTTTGGCTCTGGCCCCGGCCTGGTGGAACACACTCCCAGTTGAGATCAGGGCCCTGCAGGACTTATTACAATTCTGCAGGGCCTGTAAAATGGAGCTGCTCTGCCAGACCTTTGGTTGAAGCAGCGGGTATCTCATCACATCTGGCCACCCATGCTCTAACCAGACCCCCCATCCAGCCATGTGAATTATGATACCAACTTGTATTATTGTTGGCTGCAGACCTAGATGATCTTTGCTCTGACGATGCATATGTTCAAGGACTTCATAATTCTAAAAATACTAAAATGGCTTAGAGTTTTTAATACAGAATTAAGATGACTAATTTTGCAAACTGCTTTTCTGTTAGGGAAAAATCAATGGTAACCTTATATGCATTATGTAATTATTTGTGTGTAGGTATATACCGTATATGACATTTTTTGTGCTGTCAAGTTGCAGCCATCTTATGGTGGCCCCATAGGGTTTTCAAGGCAAGAGACATGCAGAAGTGGTTTACCATTGCCTGTCTTTGTGTAGTGACCCTAGACTTCCCTTTGTGGTCTCCCATCCAAATACTATCCAGAACTGACTCTGCTTAACTTCTGAGATAAGGCTAGTATGTAATGCTTGAGCTATCCAGGTCAGGAGATTACATGTATACATTATGTGTGTTTTGGGGTGTACGCCCTGATATTTTCTTTTGGAATCCTCTTAAGCATATACAAAGAATTGACATTTTCTTAGTAGGGATTAGTAGACCAAATGAGTATCAAATTCAACGGTGATATTAGTATTTTCCTGTGTGTGCTGCTAAGATTTTAAGTGCAAATTTAATGTGCTTCCAGGCTGGACACAATCACACAAGAACTCACTATACCTAGAATATATCCTTTAAATAATCAAATCTGACTGCACTTGAGTGCACGTATGCCTGTTTAATTTATTTAATTTATTTTTATTTATTGTTTCAACGTTTACCCCGCCCACCCCACCGAAGCAGACTCAGGGCAGTTTACATAAAAACCAATAAAACAAGATCCATCACAATAAAATACATAAAACATGACATAAGACCGTTTAATTCAGTTAAACTAATAAAGCCTTTATTTATTGCACTTCATATATACATATACATGACAATTCTCCCATATCATATTACTACAAATGACATTAAAGCAACAGGTTTGAAGAAGTAAACAAAAAGAGATGAAAATTTACAGACTTGTACCTATACATGCAAAATGTTTCACACTTCTAGTAAGTTACATTAGCACTAAAAGGTTTCCCTACCAAATAAAAAATTCCATTTTCAAACTAAGTAATTTATATTTTTTGCTTTCCTTTTACGTAGTTAATGATTCATTGCAGTGTAATGTAAATGTTAAGTGTTTGTATGCTTTTTTATCAAACCACTGAATTAAGTTTTCAAGCACCTGTATTACCATAAGAATAGAAGATGGATTTCATAAGGGAACTCAACATTTCAAAACTGAAGATTATGCTTTATAAAGCTGGTCCTTCATTAGGGTCCTTACTGGTATTTTTCAGGTATTATTTAAGCCGAATACAGATCAGACAATCTGACTGGCTACTGGTATAGCTGAGCCTGAATAAAAGGCAATTTTGGGGGGCTTTCATTTGGGTATATTCAGCTATAATGAATGGCTGGTGGGCTCCTCTTGCTACTGCAAGGGGAACCAGACAGGATTGGCCGGAATGGCAGGGGCTGAGAGCTCCATGCTGAGCTGCAAGAGGAGCCACTCAGCCAGCCCAGGAGAGCTCCCAACCACCCTGGCTGATTCCCTGCAGCCAGATTCTCCTGTGGCACAGTTTACACTGCGCCACAGGAGACGCCCTCCCAGCCAGGTCTACGTGCAGCAGGGAGAGAGCTCCCCACTGCACACAGACCTGGGGCCAGCTTTAAACTATGCTGGAGAAGCCCTTCTAGCCAGGTAGTGGGGAGACCTCCCTGCCGCATGGAGATTCTGGGGCCAGCTTCTGCAGTGCAGTTTAAACCATGCTGCAGGAGAAGCCAAGCCAGCCTCAAGGCTGGGCTGGCTTTTTTAATTAATCCCCCAAATTTGGGATTTCTGAAAAATCCCGGATCTGAATACCATACAGGTATTGTGATCTGGGATTTTTTTTGGAAATAGTGAATTTTTTTCGGGCCCAACAGAAACAAACTAAAAAGTACCGGGGTTTTTTGCACACCCCTAGCTGGAGCATTATGACTTCTACAAGGATCCTAGCTTCTCATACAGAACATAAACTGAACCCAAATTACTGCTGCAAACTAGCTTTACATGTCCAAAAGAGGTTCTGGAGTAATTTTGCTCAAACAACAGTATGCCATGCTGCATGGCAAGCCACTTTTGAATATGTTTGCAAAATGGTACGGCGAAAGAGCACTTGGGTATTTGAAGAACAAAACAAACGAAAATCCCTGGGGACACACTCAAGGCATTCAGCATGCATTTCAGAATATAACATCAAGGTATTTATCTTTTAAAAGATGACTAGCTTTTTATCGTGTCTCAGTAATCAGCACTATCATACTACTGATTAACAATGGAGACAATAATTCAATATGAAAGTTAGTTTTTCTGTATATAAATCTTATCTTAAAATATTAGAGATCTAAGCAAATATTTCTAATGCACTATGCATTTCCAAAAACTAATTTTGGGATTAAATTGATAAAACTATTTCTCAACATTCTATTTTATAGGAAATTAAGTATATCATATCATCTACATATAAGAATTTCTTTATAATATACATAAAGGGCAACCATTTTTCATCAGACTTGGTTAACTTCAATGTTCCATAGAATTCTTTTACAACGAAATGAAAGTTTACTACTAGGGTTCTGTTTGCTGCAAGCCAGAGTGAGTATTTCTGGACAAAGGAATAAATCTAAGCTGTGTTTAATACCACAAACATTAAAATCTTCTTACATTAATTTCTTTAAAAATTACCAACAAATCATAATACTTTACAAGCTTAAGCCTTCACCATGAAATTTGTAACTTTGTATGAGTTCACTGATATGCAATAATCAATTTACTAGTGGAGCACAGAAAACGTTTACTTTTATGAGATGATTCTGTAAGAAAAGGCCATCAGAATAAATCTCTTATGAGAAACAAATTAATTTCACATATGGAATTTAATAAATAACGAAACAGAACAAACTGAAGAGGCTTGCATAAAAAACTCAACAGTAAATGAATATACTTTTTAAATTATACTTGAAATGTTTTCACTAAAAGTAGTTTGGTTTGCTTTTGTTTCTGCAAGAACTCTTCTCATCTCCATTTTGCTCTGTGATGGATTGCTCAGAAAAGCAGGTTTTTAAAAATGCTATCTTGTGTCAGAGAGTTCAATAGTTAATCTTCCCTGGAGAGAAGAGCTTATCTGATTGGCCAGCATCAGCTGAGAGAGGAAATAAAACAGCTGATCTAGAGAGAAAAGATTCAGTCACCTTTTGGTCTTGGAATGAAATCTAAAGTCTGGATGAGTAACCAGAGGGTTTCGCTTCTGAGGGAAGAGACTTTGGGAGTAATTGATTTCTGTCAGGGAATTGTCAGAAAAGTACTTTTATTGAGAGAAGAATAAGAACCCCATTGTCTTAAATATATTAGAACTACTCTAAGGGAGAATTTAGATTCTTAGTCAAGAAAACTATGGAACAGCTTTATACAGACAACGGATATTGGAGAAGGATTTGGCAGAAGGTCTGGGTAGTTAGAGAGAACTCCCGTACAAGCCAAATAGCCAAAGAAGTTATTGCTTCTTAGGGACAAGGAGAATAACTTCCTGCCAGTGAAAGGTGTTCGGAAGAGAACCCTGATCTATGATAAAGGGGAGAAGCTTAGACACCTAGGAGTTAGTGAAAACCTGTAATATCGAAAGGGAAAACCTCTGAAGTGAGAAATCTAGAAACTATAAGCAAACACTATTTTCCAGAAAACAGTATTAAGAACCTGTTTTAGCAAAGCATGTCTCATTGAAAAGATCTTGAAACTCTGAAAATAAGCCACAACATTCTCTTGTATGATCTAAGCTTTCAAATATATAGCATAAAGTTTTGCCTCAGCCTTTCTAAATCTTGACAGTCTCCTATTATATATATTCCCTTCCTATTCAATAAAATATTATTTCTGTTTTGAAAGTTACTTTGCCTCAAGTGCCATTTCAATAAGGGTATTTTAAAACAAGACAGCTCCTGTATTCCCTCCAGTTCCTGTGCTGGGTCATAGGCCTAAACTAATATCTGTGACAGGGCGGGACAGTTAAAGCTTATAAAGAAGAAATACATGCTACTTAGTCACTAAGGGGAACGAAAAATATTTTTGGTGGGAAAATGTACCTGGGAGTGGGGAAGTTTCAGGGGTCTGTCATAGTCTCAGATGTTAGTCTCAGATGGGGGATCATAGTCTCAGATGGGGGATCATAGGAACAATACCCGATCCCACAGTTTCAAACTTAAAAAGAACAGAAGTTCACCATGACACTGAAACACAGAGTAATCCTCAGACCTTATCTTAAGCTTCAGTCTGGTACAGGGAATCATCCCTAAGTCAAATGCAAGTGTCTAGATGTTTCCGAGCCTCCTTCACAACTCTAGAGCAGGAGAAGGGCTGGAGTTTGTTACACTTGCCAGAGATGAGCAAGACTCACCATAGCAAGAGCATTTGTTTACTCTACAAGTTAAATGGTGACAAAGCGATGAGTGCTTAATAAAACAATGAAACAATGTTTTGAGGTACCTAATTTTAAAGACATGTACAGTTAACTGATATTTGGTAATCTAGAAACTTTGAGAAACATGAGATTTTTATAAGATTAAGATTTATGTAGTAAACCTAAAACATATCACCTTTGGCATTTCCCTTCTGTTCTTTGGAATTACTGGTATAGTCTACTCATTTATGTTAATTCTACATTAACAACAGCAAGATGTGCCTGCAATATAGTATAGACACATTCCCAGAATGGCACTTCCCCACAAGAGCATAACGGAGCCTGGTTTCTGCTCTCCCCATTCAATGCAGTAGGCCACTACAAGGAAGAGAAGCATGTGTATGCCATACTTCCTTTATCCCTACATAGCCTTTCCCTCGCCACTCAACCACAAAACATGTGCTGATGGCTAGGGGTGGTGGTGGTGCCAATTTGGGGTTCCTCCCAATAAGTTTAGAATAATGGTGTTATTTATTTTTAAGACTATCCTGTAAGAAAATCATGAAGTTGAAATGCCTAATGATTGCATTGTGAATTTTTATTCTGTAATCCACCTTGAAGCTCAGAGAGAAAGGGAGGCTATAAAGTAAACAAAAATTAAAAATATAAGAATACCCAAATTTTTCTGTAAAATACTCCAGGCTTCTCAGAATGCCTACATTTTATGCTGTATCTCATGCATGAATCACACACAGTGGCCCTAATGCAACATAGTCAAGGTCACCTGAACCAACTAAAATCATTGGCCAATCTCCTCTTTAGAAAAGCTGATTTAAAAAGCAGTGATATGGTTGTACCCACTCTGCTCAGCAAAGTCTGAAACCCTCTTCCAACCCCAGGAGCCTCCTTCCATCTTAAGTGGTGTTCCTACATGATTTTGATGCAATTTAGCATATTCAGCTTGCTGACGGGAAGGGGTGAGGAGGAATTAAATCAAATCCATAGTTAGTCTTTTAAGTGCAGCCATTTTCTATTGAATAGCAGTTGTCCTTGCCTTTCAAACTTTGGGGGGGGGTAAGGAAAGAGGAAGCAGAAAAGTTTTCTTGTAGTAGCAGATGCAACCTTACATTATTTTGGATCCAAACCACTGATTTAGGTATTTTATATTATCATACATACCTAGCGATTCCATCAGTGCAAGCAGCACAGATCTTTGCCATATTTCTTTCTCTGACCCTGGAACTGCTGATTCATGGGGCAATTGAATTTGTGTGGACTGATATTTACAATTTTAAACACTGTCTTTCTGCCCTCAAAAGGGCCATGAAAGTGGCTAACAAATTAAATTGTTTTAAAGATGTGATTCTATTATTTGTTTTTAAGACAACAAAAGCATATCATGGAGACCATTAAAACCAAAGCTATAATACAAAAACATAAAAAGACCAATTAAAACAATTGGGCAGGAAGGAAGCATCACTGAGGGAATGCCAAATGAAATTAAAAAGATAGCGGAAGATGCAGCAGAAGGGGTATATGAATCTCCTTGGAGAGAGTTCCAGACTTTTGGTGCTGTGACTAAAAAGTCTCTCCTTGGTTGCCACCCACCTAATTTTACAAAGGAGGGGCACCAGAACCAGCGCTTCTGAAGATGACCACAGTGGTCAGGTAGGGTCATAAGGGGAGTAAACTTTTGGTGCTGTGACTAAAAAGTCTCTCTCCTTGGTTGCCACCCACCTAATAAGGGGAGTAAGCAGTCCTTCAGGTATGTTGGTCCCAAACCATATAGGGCTTTAAAGGTCAGCATTAGCATTTTGAAATGTGCCCAGAAACAGACTGGGAGTCAGTGTAGATGGCACTAACTGATGTTTGTGAACACTTTTCAAGGGCAACCACTAACCAGTGCATGCACCAGTGCCAAATTCTTTTTGCCCAGGAAAGGCAACAGCTGGCTAATCAGCTGGAGTTGGTAAAAGGCACTTCTGGCCACAGCTGTGACCTGTGTTCCCTCTAAGCTGAGTTAGCGTGAGCCAGCTCACAATTTTTTAGCCTTTGGCTCACACATTTTTGTCTTTGCTCATGAAGGAGGGCTCCAGAGCAAACTGATTTATGCTATGCAGCAGCCAAATCGCTCGCTCACAACATTCATGCCAGGAGCTCACAAGGTAGAATTTTTGCTCACAGGATTCCACAGCTTAGAGGGAACATTGGCTGTGACCTCTTTATCCAACAGTAGGCCTAGATGCAAGAACACCCCCAGACTACAGACATGTTCCTTTAATGGGAGTGCAACCACATTCAGAATGGGAGACACCTTAAATCCCAGGTCAGTCCTTCCACTCACTAGTAGTGCTTCCATCTTTTTGGGATTCATAGCAGCCTCATATGTAGGTAGTTGCTGGAATTTTGCCCCCTTCCCTCACTTCAGTGCAGAATCCTGACCAATGTGGCTATTAGTTCTCTTGGGTGCTGCAACCCTAGGGTTGGAAGGTACTGCCGGAAAGAGGGAACATGGCAAAGAACTCTATCCACTAGCACACGTTACTGACGGGATGGGATTGCTGGATGCAAAATATTATTTAATACCCGAGATACAGCAAACAAAATACTAGATTATAGCAGGCCATGGTCTAATACTGCTTACAGTGTATCTACAAATGTAAATTATTCTAGATAAAAATAATTTTAATGAAATTTGAAGTGCACAAATTTTCTTTAAACTGGATTTTTCTGTATATATAGACAGGTGCAAACTTAATGCTGTTCTATGCTCTCTTCCTATTTTTAATGGAAGTAGGATATTTTTTCATTATGGATAAAATGGAATGTGTTTAGTATAGTTCATACACAATTTGGACTGGAACCTGGAAACCTCTGATCTTGTATCCTTTTGGGACTTAAATTCTTTATGTAACAATACATTTTCTAACTTGTTTTAATACATTACCACTAGTATACCAAAAGGAAAAGCTTTGGAATGACTGTAGAACGGAAATATAGCTGGTATATCTCACCATAGCTACATAAGATTGTAAGATTGTTGTTCCTTTTAAAAAACTCAATAAAGTATTTAGCTTCCACATGAAACAAACCATTATGTGACTTTTCATTTGGAAAAATGAAAGCACACCACATCAGCAATTCAATGTAACAAAAAAGTGACTTTCTGGATATTAAAGTTTACAAATAAACTAGAGAAGGATTCCTGAATATATTTGTCAGCAGTTTTGGTTTCCAATTGTTTGTGATATAAACGGAAAATGCTTGTCTCAACAGATGCTCAGGGGACAGGCCATGGTAGAGCATCTACCTTGAATGCAGAAGGTCCCAGGTTCAATCTCTGGCATATCGAGGATCAAGTATAGGTAATATGGAAGATCTCTGCTTCAGACCTGGTGAGTTGCTGTCAGTCAGAGTACACAATACTGACTTTGGTAGACCAACGGCCTGACTCAGTATAAGGCAGCTTCATGTGTCCAGATAATTATTTTATGAAGTCATCACTTGTTGGTTTATGTTAAAAAGTAGCAGGCTAAGAACAAGATTTCCAATGTGTTTTAAAAAATACAAATCATGCAAGCAATGTTTTAAAAATTTTGTTTGCTCACCATTTTGAAACCAAGTTCAAAATGCAAAGAATGAAATCAATTCATTTCCATGGTCAAGTTGTAAACTTGTATGAATAAATGCAAGTTATCCAGAAGCAGCCAGCAGTTGTCTTGCATCCTTCCATCATTCTGTTTTCAGCATCCACTGCAGAGACTTACTGTTTCTAATCTTACAGTACTTCTGATGGTGAAATCCAGGATTCTTTTGAACTTCTCATAAGACTTTGTTACTGGAAGCTCTAAACAGTTAAGATGTCTGTTTCCAACAGGGTATTTTATCTCCATGAATGTAACTGTGGGCTCAGGTTCAAACCCAATGGCTGGAATACTGCAGGTGCCAGTTGCAAACACCAATAAGTCTTCAAGAGTTACTGCTGATTCACCATCTAGACCAAAAATGTCAGAAAATGTTTAATAGCTACACATGGTGTTTACAAAGATTCCACATTACTTTAAATAAAATTCAAACACATGTACATGCTGCCAAGACCACCTGAACTAGGAGAATTACCCTCCCCTTAAATTCCCTTACCTTCTGCCTCTTGTAAATAACCCATCCAGAATTCAAGACTTCTGGCTTTGTATGCACCTGGTAAGCAGTGGATTGTAAAGAGGTCACCAAGAAGTTTTGCGGACAGTTTCTCAGGTTTGTGACACAATATGCTACAAAATGCATCAGGATTCATCTGCATTTTTTCCCAAACACCAAGAGTTCTCAAACCTTGCCTAAAACTGGGGGGGCGGGGGAGAGACATAAACAGAACACATGAACAAGCAGTACTATGAATTTTTAAATAAGTAAAACACTTCTTCCTCAGACTGTCAGATTAATATTTACTGCATATTATAGATACCACATTAATTTTTTAATCAAAACTAGAATTCACTTTTTTCCTGCATTTTGTTTACACTACTATTTTCTTCAGACACATTCCTTTTTTCATATATTAAATGATCGAGGAAGAATATTCCCTCTGAGGCAGATACCAATTTCTGCTTTGAGTCAATCATTTCTCAGAGTAACTGAATTTACTAGGAATTGCTCTTAAAACAACAGAGTTGCAGAACCCTTCCTTTGGGCTACCTTTTCTGGACTGTTAACACTATTTTAGCCAAGGTTATATTCTTATTCAACATCTTATTTATTCAAAACAGTTTCAACTACCTTTTGGGATAACTTGTAATGTATTGTTTCACTTGTGGGTTGTAACTAAATATTTTATATTCTTCTTTTATTTAAAATATTAAAAGGGGAAAGCAAACAACAGAACTACGAATTCATAAAACATGGGATAGATTATTTAACCTCTGAAATTATACATGCAGAACATTAGTTACATAAATGTCAACAAAAAGTGGTGACACTGTTCTAGACTACAAACTGAAAAAGATGTATTTATTATTTAGATATAGCAACTTGGGTTCTACAAGTAAACAAACCTTTCAAAAGGGGCAAGTGTTCTCTTGATGACATGGTAATCCAGAATCTCATTCACCAACATATCCTTATCACACAGAGTTGTTATATGGTTCACACATCCAATAGTGCTGAGATATTCATTACCATCACTTATTGCTGACTCTAAGTCATTCACATTCCTTGCAGATTTTATCTAATAGCAGGAGATAAAACATTAACCAGTTAATTTATTGGCTGAACCAGCACAGCCATTTCAAACTGATGGATGTGTACTCCTGCTAGTTTTTGTCTTTTACTCAAGTCATCTTTGTCTCACCTACAGGTCTATACACAATGTTATTCTGTCAGTACGTTCTTCAGTGGAAAACCAACAGCTTCAACATCCAAGCTTTTCTTCAAAACAAAGACGTTAAAAAGGCTATCAACATCTCTATAGTGCTATACAAATGAACAACAGCTTACCTTCATTATTGTCTGTAAAACACCAACATCAGCAACATCTTCCACTGTTGGTTTCACATTCTCTGTGCCATAAACGAGACAATTAAACAAGGTTTTGGAGAAAAAGCCAGGAGATGGGCCTCCATGAACCAGAGAAACAGCGATCATTCTTCCAGCTTCATAGTACAAGTCATCTTTAAGAGCTGCAAGTACAAATGATGTAAAAAGAACTATTGTACTGATCAGCTACAAAAGCGACTCAAACATGCAGTAGCCCTCCTGACCCAGACCAAGCCCAGCAAACTTTCAGTGAGCTGTTTTTGGAAAGTCCACAAGTAGGACATGAGGGCAACAGCTTTCCTGCTACCTTCTCCCAGCACAGGGGGTATTCAGAGGAATGTTACCACTCAACATTAAAAGTTTCATTTTCCTATCATGATCAGTGATAGACTGAAGAGAGGGTCCATCTTATCTCTTTTTAAAGCAGGGTCTCCAACAGGCACCATGTGAGCTACCGGTAGCTTGGCCACTGCTACAAAAGTAACTCATCCATCCCATAGAAGACCCAGGAAAAAATAATGAAAAGATCCGTTCTAAGCTTTCTAAAGAAATATGTTATTTTGCTCTGTACTGCTTAACTGATAGAAGCATTTCTGTTGCTATTCCTAATCCATGTTCTGTTCCTAGAAGAAAAAGTTGGCAATCCTTATCTTAAAGCCATGTGAACTGTTGCCATATCTTGTAGCAATGAATTACCAAAGAAGCAAGGCTACTCATGTTCCATTTTGTACTGCAGGTATGTCCTACGCACTTCTCTTTTCTTGGCAAACCTGTTCCTAAAACCAGAGAATTTCATGGAACAGCTTCTAAAGCAGTTGAGTTCTTGTGGTCAAGTGATGAAGCCAATCAATATCCAGTAGGTATGAGAACTTGGATAATTGTATAGGGTTTCTCAGGATCTCAGCCATTTACCAATGCTTAACAATGAGCAACATTTTCATTAAACACCCCCACCCCAGAAACATAACTTGTTTTTGACCAACAACTTGAAGACGCAGTGTAAAAAACTCACTGCTGTATTTCTTTAATAGATGGCTACATTGCATTAAAATGGAGATTACTGCTCCACAAGCAGTGATATATATATTCTACATGGGCTCCACAAGCAATGGTATATGATCTAGATGGGCCTTAAACACAACTCAACAAAAAAACGTCCCCTTTCACCTGGTGCTTTCATCTAATTACTAAAGACTAGAAGGGCAAGCTTATTCTCTCTGCTGTCCATAAATAAGACAAAGCAGGTACAAATTACAAAGGTCAGCCCAATTCAATGTTTTATCAGTGTTCTTGTATATATTGGAGTGGCCATCATAGCCAACGGTCAAAGGCATATTCCTTTGCACAGAATTAATAGATGCTGACCTGGGTAAAGTGTAGACAATATTGTTAAAGCCAGACTTGTTAAACATGTAGAAGAACAAGTCTTGCTCACAAAGAATCAACATGATTTCTATAAAAACAAAGTCCTTTCTCACCAACCTTTTAGAATTCTTTGAGTGTCAACAAGCATGTAAATAGTATGACATATCTTAGAAATACATACATACATGTTTGACATACATAAATGTTTGACAAAGTACCTCACTGAGGGCTGCTGAGTAAACTTAATAGTCATGGGATAAGAGGATTTGTCTTTAAAGTAAATGATTGATTTCCCCAGGGATCTGTAGTGAGACTAGCTGTGATCAACAAAACAACACAGAGGGACCATAAATGAATTATGGCCTAAAGTTTGTGTCTGAGCAGAAGGGTGAATGACAGGATGAGGGATTATGAAAGAACCAAAAAGTACCCAGAAAGGCTGAAGAGGAAGTAACACATAGAGGTTTTCCTCAGACTTCTCCTAAGACAATTCCAAGATTAAAGAACACAAGTTAGTGTGCACAAACCACAGAGTAAGAAGACAAAACTGAAGAATGGAGAAAGGCAGAGTCAGTATCCCAGATGGTAAGAGAGTCAGCAAGGATGGGCAGACAAGTCCATTATGAGTCTCCAGTAAGTGACAAAGTTTGAAGCTTGCAGGCTGACTGGTCACAAATGGACACTGCTAAAGTGTCAGCTCCTGGAAAAAGGGAGAGCTGCAGGACCATTTAAGAAAGAGACCATGACTGAATCAGTTGAAGAGAAAGATCACTCAGCAACCTCACACCAGCATGACACAATGGTGTGCACACTCTTGATGTCTTCTGTGTTAGCAACTATTTATGCTGGTCTGCCAACCAACATGGACTCATGAGTATGAGAATGTAATTGGAAAACCCTTCTGCTATTTGTTAAAGTTTCATTTCCTATTCCAATAAAATTGCATTAAGTAGTGGGTGAACATAAATCACACGTCTCTTGTTCATTCTCACCTCCTAGAAGGTCCTAAGCTTGCTACATAGTGTTATTTAATTTATTCATGAATGATCTGCAACAGGGGGTAATCAGTGAAACAGCAAAATTTGTCAATCCAAGCCCCTTTCAGCCTTCTCCCCCCCTTCCAAGCCCGTGGGAGCCGCGGGCAAAGCTGAACGGGGCTTGGATCTCCAAGCCCCATTCAGCCTTCTCCCCGCCCCCAAGCCTGCGGGAGCCGCTGGCAAGGCTGAATGGAGCTTGGATCTCCATGCCCCATTCAGCCTTCTCCCCCCCCCCCAAAGCCCAGGGGAGCCCATTGGAAGGCTGAACGGGGCTTGGATCTCTTAGATCCAAGCCCTTTCAGCCTTGCCAGCGGCTCTCGTGGGCTTGGGAGGGGGGGAGATTCCTAAATATAAATACACGTTGATGGGGTCTGAACTGGCAGAGACTGATCAAGAGAGAGATCTTGGAGTTGTAGTAGATAACTCACTGAAAATGTCGAGACAGTGTGTGACTGCAATAAAGAAGGCCAATGCTATGCTCGGGATTATTAGGAAGGGTATTGTAAACAGATCAGCCAATATCATAATGCCGCTATATAAATCAATGGTGCGACCTCATCTGGAATACTGTGTGCAATTCTGGTCACCACACCTTAAAAAGGATATTATAGCTTTGG